TTATACAGACATGGTCCTTTTTTTCCCGGCCGCTCAGTTGCAATTTTGTGTATCAACCACTGTCCTTTTTCAGTGACACTCTGACAGTAGTTTGCTGGACCGAATTTACACGGCATCAAGCAATTAGGGGGGACATTGAGAAGTGAGAAATAAGAGAAAATGCTAGTGAGCTGATCAGGCATCGGTCAAAATACTAGGCTGGCCTGAAAATGAATTGACCAAGACTCATAAATGTGCCAGTGACAAGCAACCATGACTTTTCCAAGTTCCTTGTCTAGTGCTGTGGACGAAATATTTCTAGGCTGTACAGTATTTCACCTTCTTCTTTTCCTGTCCTTGTGTGTTACCGCACCATTATTCTACAATTGTTTTTTCACGAAACTTCAATGCAACTCTTCCAGTTCTGTCAACTTCATGCCTGTTGGTCTAATAAATAATGCATTCAAACATGGAATAAGTGGCTAGATACTCTCATCGTTGACAAAGACTTCTTGACCAAATTTTCCCTTGTAGAGACCATCATGCACACATTCCCCACTCAAAGCCTTGGACATCACTGTCTTCTCTTTAAGTTCTCATCTTACCACGCCGTGCAATTCCGCCCCAAGACATATCTACACACAGGATAGGTGTCCACCATTCACGTCTGCAATTCAATCAAAGGTAGGTTCTTACCCCCATTAAGCTAAATCATTGCCTGTGATCCAAAGTTCATGTATCTAAATCTCATTACTACTGTTGTATGTTGAATATCCTGAACACGGAAGGGATATTTTTGCAGATTCTTCAATCCTAATGGCGGAGATTGTTGGTTCTGCGGTTGTTCAAGAGTCAGTTAGCCAAATCTTATCTGGTATGCTTCAAAAATATGAGGAGAAACACAACTCAAATGCGTTCAGAAACCTTGAGAGGCTAGAGATGGCACACATCAGGCTGGAGGCTGTTCTTCAGACATCTGACAAGTGGGATATCACTGATACATCCTTGTTGCGTTGGCGTAGGAAGCTTAAGTCTGTTGCTCAAGAGTGCGATAACACGTTGCACAGATGCAGGCAGAGAATCCTAGAAGATGAACACATAGAAAAGGAAGTAAGTAATTTCTCCCTTCCTAAGCGGGTTGTGCACGCTACCAGGTCATTCGTTTCTTCTATCTTTAACCACGACAACGACGACTTGAATAGATCCATTGTTCAAAGATTTGAATGGTTTGCTGATGGTGCTGGCGAGTTTCTGAGATTACTAGAACTTGGTGGCATGCCCTGGTGTCACATGCCATTTGACCCTCTTATCAGGCACCTTCTTGCTGGCAAGATACTAAAGCATAGAATCATTAGGGCAAATAAATGCCCTTTGTTTCTACTGCTGGCGCCATTTATTAGTGCAGAGCATGGAATAGAAGGTAGGCTTTACTTCGTGCAGAAAGATCGTAATGTGCCGGATGAGGACTTTTGCTTTAATGTAACGCTACAGCTTTCTGAGAGTACAGACATAGTCGGGGTTGCAATTCAGTGTTTACAGCTGTTTGCCCCTCTTTTCATGTCTATGGTTGAAAATATTAGGAAAAGCCTTATGCAACTACCTACTCAAGACTTCTCGTGGGTACCGTATGTTGATTCACACCAGAAAAAATATTGGGACAATGTTCATAGATTTGGCCGTCAATGGTTTCGCCCAAACCCATCATGTTGCAAGCAGCATGATAAGCACAGCCTTTGTCATAGTAGCAAGCTAGACAAGTCATCTGGATTACCATATGTTTCTCTAGAAACAGTTATTCATGTAGGTCTGTGGTGCCAAGTCTCACTCTCAGAGTCCGACAAACAGGGGTTGTCACTGGCCGAATGTAGAAGTTCTCTACATGATCATCCATATCAGAGAGCTGGAGTCCTCTTTGCACCGCATGGCTCTTCAGAAGACATGTTGCTTGTGGATAAGTTTCCTGCAATAGCGGCAACCAACAGTGAGGAGCAAAATGGTTTGCATACTTTATTTACCTTGGGACAACTTGAGCAGATAGTGCTGCCAAAAGCAATAGATTTCTTCTGCCAGAATGAGGAAGCAACAATCTACCAAATGCTTTGGAGGTCTAAGCATGGCACTGCATACATTCAGGTTGAAAGAGCAAGCATCTTCATGCCAAGCACACGGCGAACATTTCATGGAGCTAAGAGAAGGAAGCTGTTGCGAGGACTGGATGAAGATTTGGAGTGCCTGACATATTTGGTGTCTCGCTTCCTTTCCTTATGGGCTTCTCATGCATCCATCCAACTGGAAGGCTCGATCATGGACTGGTATCAGGAAGTAAAGGAAAAACACAAGCAGCTCATCACTGCCGCCTGAAATTCTTGATCATATATCTACCATGGATTGATCAGCAAACGATGGAGAAATAAAAGAATGGAGTGTTCCATGAAAGGAACAAAGTGTGGATTTACTGTTCATGACCAAGAACAGATCACAGAGATCAAGTACATATATTTTCAGTTCTCAAAATTTGGGATAGATGCTCGGACTACAGGGTCAAGACTCAATACAGAAGCAGAGCTACATCATGGAGGAATTTATGCTTTAATGGCTAGCAAGTTGTGTATAATGTTGGTCTTATTGAGAATTCTCCTTCTGAAATAGGAATGTACGTGAGAATTCTGTATCGTGGTGTTTGTTAATCACCATTTGATCTTATAGTAGATGTTCCATGGTTATAGTATTATTCATCTAATTGTATCATACAAATAAATGTAAGATGCAACTGAATTGTTAATGTCGTTTCTGTGTGTAATCGCATAGTACGATTACCTAATACAGTCGAGGAACTAAAATTTAAAATTTTAAATGTTTACTTATTAGCTGTTCCATATGATTGAATCCAACACATTTTGCTTTTTCTTGGAATGATTTGCAGGAGCACTTCACTGTCATTTAAGGAGAGAACATTTTGTTACATGAGACCATTTCAAATAAGGTACAGAAACACAAAGCACTGGAAGCAAAACGAGTAGCACTAGTCTCGCTGGATCCATAAATGAGCACAGGCTACTCTCCTCAGCGCCATCTTCTCTTTTGCTAGCCCGAAGACCTGAACCATTGAGTTAGACTTGCCTTCAAAGATTCTCTTATTCCTTTGCTTGGAAATGTTCAGAGCCGTGTACATAAGGAATGCTGCCACCGATCTTCTTATGGGACTATCACGTCCATATTCTAAGGTTGCCTTGCGAAACAAATAGAATTTGGATGTGATTAGTGAAAGTCCATAAATAGAGAATGGCCAGGTGAAAGGGGTAGTACCACATCTGATGGAAGATGGCCTAAGATTATTGAAACAACGCTCGAGATGTAAAACTTAGAACAAGTCTAGAAAAAGACATTATATATGGATGTTACTTTTCTGAAAGGAGACATTTTGAATTTTTTTTTGATGCGAAGCAACACGTTGGGCCAAGACAAAAAGGTGCAGACTCCTGCAGGTGGGCCCACACAAGCGTGGTTTTCTGGTGATAGATATTGGAGAGGACAACGTCCATTGCGTGTTCTGTATAACATAACAAGCATGTTCTAGCAAAGTATAGGATCGGAATAGCAAAGCTAACTACGTGTGTTAGTGTGAACTCCTGCCGAAGCCGGGTCCTGAAACTTTCAGTCACATGACATCACGGTTTACAATTTCGGCGAAATATCGTCGAAATTTCTAAAATATCGCTTTTTTCATTGAGGTCCGAATTTTTTTTGTATCAGTCAAAATTTTTCGGTTAAATTCATCTTTCACTCTAAAATTACACCAAACCACACTAAAATAACCCTCCATATCATCTAGTCTTATCAACGCCCTAAATTTCTTCAAATTTATTTAATTTTCTCACTCACACATTAGACGGCACTAGTATATGCAGCTCGCCCACCGTCAGCACACTGTATTACCGCGGCCCTACTTCTGTGATATATTATGTTATTTCATCGATGTTACATAAATTTATGATGGATGATGGATTATAAAGTTTTTCTAGTGAAATGATGCCAAATTTGTTTAAATCTCAATTTAAATTTATTTAAATTTGAACCAATATTTTCGAAATTTCGTATTTATCGCTGGGGACCGAAATTTTTTTCTTACCGGTATTGTAAACCCTGTATGACACTAGTCTGTGGAATGAATCGGTAATTGGTAAAGACTAGCGCGTGGCATTACAAGGACTCTTGTATTGGCTACATTAATTCTACTAGAAAATTGGCATTGACAAACGACAGTTTCAAGTTGTGTATGGAATTGTTAAGTGCGTAGAGCCACAAGACTTTTTGTAGATCTCCTGCCCTTGCTGGCTTTGCTCCGAAAAAGATGTTCCTTGTGTCACATTGTCTACTACTTAAGTTATCATCTTATCTCATAGTTCAACTCTAACATCCAGAATATAGCTCTCTACATACAGGATAACTGTCCACTGTTTCATGCAACTCAAGGGTAAGATTCTTACAACCAAAATCTAAATCTTTGCTTTTGATCCAGAGTTCATATATCTAATCTCTTGTATGCATACTACTATATTGCTTTTCTGAGCAGGGGAAGGACTGCTGCAGCTACTTCAGTCCTGATAGCGGAGATCATCAATTCTGATGTTGTCCAAGAGACAGTTAGCCAAGTCTTGTCCAGTATAGTTCAAAAATATGAAGAGAAAGAGCAATCTAATGCACGGAAAAACTTGGAGAGGCTAGAGATGGCACACATCAGGCTGGAGGCTGCTCTTGAGACATCAGAAAAGTGGCACATCACCGATGCATCCTTGTTACGTTGGTGCAAGAAGCTGAAGTGTGCTGCTAAAGAGTGTGATGACACACTCCACAAATACAAGCGTATAATCCTAGAAGAAGAACAGATGGAACAGGAGTGAGGAATTCCAGCTTTCTTAAAAGGATAGCTCATGCTACCAAGTCATTTACCGCCTCCTCCTTTGGCAACCATGACAACCAATTGAGCCGGTCCATTGTTCAAAGATTTGACTGGCTTGCACATGGCGCTAGTGAGTTTCTGAGATTTGTTGAGTTTGGAGGCACACCAAACCGACACATGACCATCAGCTCCCTAATCAACCACCTTTTTGCAGGCAAGAAACTGCAACATAAATTTGCTCGAGGACATGAGGACCATTTATTTCTACTGTGCTTGGCACCATACACTGCAACAGAGCATGGAATAGAAGCTACACTGTTATTTATTCACAAAGATGGTAACACACCAAAGAGTAACTTTTTCCTTATTGTAGTGCTACAGATTTCAGAAAGTACAGATATAGTTGGGATCATAATCAAGTGCTTGCAGTTGTTTACCACTAATTTCGAGCCTATAGTTGAAATTATTAAGTAAGAGCTTACTCAGCTACCAATCCAGGACTTGCCATGGGTACCATGTGTTGATTCCTACCTGTATAAACATCGGGACAAGCTTCATTGCTTTAGTACCCAGTGGTTTCGCCCAAACCCATTATGTTGCAAGCAACATAATCAGCACAAGCTTTGTCGTAGTAGCAAATTGTACACATCAGGATCACTAGATGTTTCTCTAGAACCAGTTAGTTACCTGTTTTTGCAGGGCCAAGTCTTACCGTCAGAGTGCAATAAACGTTGGCCCTCATTGTCTGAACATCAAAGTTCTCTGAAGGATTCTCCATATCTGGAAGTTGGAATTGCCTTTGCACCCCACAGTTCAATAGAAGACATGCTTCCTGCAGGTACATGCTCCGCATTAGCAGCAGTTGAGGGTGAACGCCAGCATGTCTTGCATACAGACATTTCCTTGGAAAAACTAGAAGAGATCATGCTGCCAAAGGCAGTAGATTACTTCCACAAGAATGCCAAAGCAACAGTCCACCAAATGTTTTGGAAGTCTGAACATGGCACTGCGTACATTCAGGTGGAGAAGGCAAGCATAGGCACACTCAGAACAAGCATGAGAACATCGGTAACTGTTGGGGGAGCTAGGAAACGAAAGTTGCTGCAACGACAAGATGAGGATGTTGGGAGTCAGCCAAATGTTCTCTCTCAATTCCTCAACCTGTGGGTTGCACATGCGCCGTTGCAGCTGCGAGGCTCGATCGTGGACTGGATTCAGAAGGAAACGGAAAGTCAGTTAGCAGCACAACAGCTGCACCTGAAATTCTAAAGCATGTACCATGGTTGTGGATAAGGGAGATGAGGAATACAAGACTGGAAATGGAATATTCGGGAGAAGACATCAAATAGTTGGATTTATGATTCGTAATTGAGTAGAAATACCGGCAGAAACATAAAAGTATAGATATTCTCAGAGCTACAATGTGGGTCAGATGCTCCATATACAGAGGCATGAGGAACAAAGCCATATATAGCATGAAGGGTCGCAATGTTCTGTTAAGAGGACGTCACTCATTTTTCAGTTTTGTATGATACCACATGTTTTTCGCAAGTTCATTTATTGTTTCACCATTATATATAACGAAATGTAATGTAATTTTAAGCAGTCGGTCAGTAGTTTTTTTTTATGCGAAATGTAAGACGGCAGTTACCATGTATAATTGTATATTACTCTTAGTACCATTCTGTCGATTTTTATATCTATATAGTTTTTGGAGTAAATTTCACTAGGGGTTATTGAAATTGTCCCGAGTTTTCATCTAGATCCTTGTACTTTCAAATTACAAATTCAACTCTCTATACTTGTCCCGAGTTCAGGGGTGGAGCTAGCCTTGTTTACCGAGGTCAGCTGACCCTGGCCCAATGAAATTTCTTATGTTCAATAGAAATCATTGTTCATAGATGCTAATGACCCATTAGATAAAGAGGACGGCCTGGTCATCTTGGGTGTGTTTGGTTTCCTGGCTAACTTCTAGCCTGGCTAGAATACTAGCCTGGGCAGCCTTAGCCTGCTCCCATCAAGCCAACTCTTGGTTGTTTGGTTGTCTATATTATGTTAGCCTGGCTAGCCCTAAGGTGTATTTAGTTGTCTGATTTGTTTTGATACAGTCACCTGTTCACTGAATTGGTAAGGTTACCCCTTTGAGACATTTCGTTGAACAAGTGGTGGGCATCCCAGGCGAGTGGCAGCACACGTCAACAGCGAGCAAGGGGTAGCAGCGCGAGGCATCACCGCGGGCTCCATTGGTGTCGCCGCGCTCATCTACGCTCTCCTCAGGCTGCAGCGCAAGGTAGCGCCGTACTAGACCAAGGCGGACAGGGAGAAGCGTGCCGCGTGGAGGAGATCGCGGTACCTGAGCTTCTGCCACTTGTGGTCCGAGGACCACTTCCGTGGCGGCCAGCAGTCGACGTGTTGCATTTGCCTATCGTCCCTGGGCTCCACGCAGGGCGCCGACGACGTGGTGCACCGCTACTCTGTTTGCGGCGTGCCGCGCACTCAAACTGCTTGTAGGACACTTGGACGCCTAAGAGGGGCGGGGTGAATTAGTCAACTTAAAAATCTAACTCTAAACTATGGCCTCTTTTTCTACCTCTAGCAAAACCTATGCAAAAGATAATCTATCTAGATGTTTAACTGCGGTTTTGCTAGTGTGTTGCTATCTCTACCGCAAATGATAATAATATGATCAATGTAAATGCGGAAGCTTAAAGAGCAAGGTAGAGATATGCAAACTCCCGTCGACGACTCCGGTATTTTTACCGAGGTATCGAGAAGCGCGCAAGCTTCCCCCTAGTCCTCGTTGGAGCCCCTCGCAAGGAATCCCTCGCAAGGGCCAAGCTCCCGGTCGGGTAACTCCGTGGATAGCCTCGGGCCTTCCCCACGCGCAAGTGGGTCTCCGATGTGCCTTCCGGCAAGCCTCTCCCGGATGCTCCCCGCCGTCTTCACTATCAAGCTTTCGGCCGAAACGCCGCGGGCCTTGTTCCCTTCGGTACACGGTGGCGGCCGCACCACAAACGCGGTTGGTGCGATCTCGCAAGACTTCAAGCCCCTCCGATGTACAACTCTTGTGCTCGCAAGCACGGGGTGGCAAGAGGTATGCAAACCTCACTAAACACTAGGCATACACCTAGAGCAAGCGCATAAGCGGTGGTCTAATCAACCTAAGTACTTCGCAAAGCACCTACGCTAATCACCTGATGAAACACTAAGCACTTAGCAAGTGGAGATCACTAAAATGGTGTATCAACACCCTTGGTATGTTTCCTCAGCTCCACACATCTCAAATGGCCGGTTGGGGGTTGTATTTATAAGCCCCACTGAGAAAGTAGCCGTTGGGGTCGAACTCCCGCAAATCTGCTACTGACCGGACGCGTCCGGTCGTCCCGACCGTTGTTGCCGCGAACTACCGATCGGACACTGCCAGCGTCTGGTCGCCTGCCACCGGACGCGTCCGGTCACAGTTTCGCGCGCCTGGAACCTCTCTGTACTCGGTCGGACGCTGCGTTCCTGCGTCCGGTCGGTTGCCGCCAGCGTCCGGTCCTTGCATCCGGTCGCCTATCTGCCGAGCCACCGGTCCAGCGTCCGGTCGCGCTTCCAAAGTAAATGGGCCAAGGGTCCATTTTTCTTACAATCTCCCCCTTTTTGGTGATTGATGTCAACATGACCAAAGCAAGCAAATAACAAAATTTTTAATTTAAAAACTATCTACTTGCTAGGATGCGATGCAAGGGGCAAGGTTTTATGATGCTAAGAGATACTACATGAAAGACTATGATACCAATTGAAGACCTAGCTTGCCCTTGCAAATGTCCCCATGTGGCATTATGGATTAAAGTCTTGCTTCTTATAAATTCTCCTCATTACTTAGACTTAATCCATAATCCACTATCCTTCCTTTCTCAGACCATTACCATTTGTAGACATTAACTTAATGCTTGTCTTTGGTCCTCCAAATTCTCCCCCTTTGGCATCAAACACCGAAAAGGAAGACATTAGTAGCACAAGGGAGGGTCAAACTTTGTGATCCTTTGTATGTAGAATTGGATAGATCATAAAATTTGACTCTCACATTATATAGACTAAGCTCCCCCTAAATAAATGCATACATATGATAGAAGGCAAAGCATATGCATAATTGGTAAATTATTGCATAAGGGAGTTTAAGCTATATAATGCATGGAGAAAGCATATAAATATCAAAATGAAGTCAACATGATGATACTAAATGAAGAATGATGCTTAACTTTGGGAACTCCAATTTCCTTACAATGAGACTACTACACATGTGATAGGTTTGAAAAGTTGATACCATTTAAAAAGTGTTAGTCTCAAAGCATCCAAGTTGTAGAAATACTCCCCCTAAATATGTGCACACAAATATAGAAAACATTGTAGAAATCATGCACATTGATTTTAGAATAAAAAATACCACTTGAAAGATGACATCTCATGAATGTGAGAATCATTTTCAAAAATATATCCGGGAGAGATTATATACAATTTGGACTTTGGCACATATTAGATGAACAAAAGTAATACAAGCTATGTGCCGTGCTTGTAAACAATTTTGAACCATGTAGGTTTGCTCCAAGGGTTAAGAATGAAACCGAGCAAGCCTACCATATGATATACCTAGTGTATGTATGACAAAAAATATAAGAATTCAAATGCAAACATAGGCATGAAGAGTAACTAGATGCTAAAAGATATCAATTGTAGGAAAATTTTGAATCTAATACCAATTGAAGTAAATTGAATCTAGTTACCTAACATGGGAAGGGGAATTTGGATCCATACTATTCACTAACCCACTTGGCAATGATTTTGTCCATCATGATGCACCCCATGAAATGCACCCATACTTTGCCAAGTCTCCAAATTCCCCGAGGACCGACGGACTTCTTACTTCCCTTTCGGGATCCAAACCTTCTTGGTGCTCTTCATGTTGGAAATGATTTCCTTTGGCACCCAAAAGCGTTTGACCCCATTGTTTGCTTGCTTGTTCACCTTGATGGCCACCACCTTGTCATTTTTCTTCTTCTTCAAGAGATAAGGTGTGGAGGCCTTCTTGTTCACCTTGTTGGTGTAGGTGTTGGAGAGATTGCTTGTTTGCTTTTTCTCCTTTATCTTTGCTCCTCCCTCATTCTTCACCTTGCACTCATAGGACTTGTGACCTTCCTTGTCGCACACGTAGCAAACCACGATTTGTCCTTCATCAAGCTTCTTCACTCCCTTGACGGTGTTATCTTGATGAAGTTGGGTTTGCTTCGCCTTGCCTTTCACTTGAGTCAAGTCATTGGTGAGGCGAACTACTTCTTGCTTGAGTTGCTCATTCTCCTTTACAACCTCTTGTGTGCATGTATCTACAATCACTTTCTCAACACAAGCTTGGTTGCACAAGGGTGAGTCTAAATATAAATCATTGCAAGAAGTAGAGGCATCATTTTTAATTATGTCATTTCTTTTAGATGCCTTGGTGGAGGTTAAATTGACGGCCTCAAGATTAGCAACTTTATTAGTTAGCTCATCACAATGTTTGCACATGATTTCCATTTTAGCAAGCAAACTTTGATAATCATTTTGTGAGATAGCTAACTTTTCTTTTAATTTTTCATTTTTCTTTTCAAGTTGCTTATCGTTAATTGTGCATGCACTTGTTGTTGCACTAGCCTCAAGTTGCTTAATTTTAGTAGATAGTTCAACATTTAGATTTGCAAAGTTTTCATATTGTTCAAGCAAATTCTTGTATGCTTCTTGTGAACTACCTAGCTCTTCTTTTTAAACTTTTGAGCTTCTTTTTGTTGACTAGTGCAAACTTTAGCATATTTAAGATTTTGTTGCACAATTTCATGATAAGAAGGCATATTATCATCACTATCGCTCTCACTAGAGGATGAGCTTGGCGTTACCTCGTGCCATAAGGCACACACACGATCGAAGAGCTTGATGATGAGTGCTTGCGCCCTCGCCTCTTGTGATGGTCTTCTTCACTTGAAGAATCATCCCATGATCTTATTGATGTGAGGGCTTTGTTCTTGCATGCCTTCTCTTTTTGTCTTGGGTGTGGGTTTGTTTGGACAAACTTCCACAAAGTGCCCCACTTCGCCACATCCATAGCATCCTCTCTTTCTTTGCTCGTTTCTTTGATTGGTGAAAACGAGGTCTTGGATTTGGATGGGCACACCCTTGACATTGAGCTTTTGGATCATCTTCTCCACCTTATTGATAAGTTTGATTGATTCTTCATCAAGGTCGGAGGCAGAGGAGGA